CTCTTGACTGATGTGTTCTCCACCGTCTCCTGATTTAACCGCAGCCGACCAGCAATTACTAGTCAATGGAATGTCGATAAACAACAGGTCCAACAAGGATCCATGTATGAGCGCTAATAGAATTTTGATCTAAATCAACCCACGTCACTTGTTTTAGCAAGTCAAAGTTGTTGACTGTGCATGGCTTTATAATGGCTTATGTATCAGCCCATGAGACTTTCTAAGTATTATAGATTATTTTGTAGAGTGGTTAATACCGCAGCTACACTTAGTGTCAAATCTGGCAGTTAAAGCTGCTGATAAATATCGCGCTCAGAAAAGTTGTGGGAATGCTGTGTTATGATGAAGGAGTACGTGACTTTCCGGTCTAATGAGTTTACTTGAATCTCATATGGATATTTTCGGTATTGCCTTAGCCAGTGATTATTGAGCTTTTTGTGAACTACCAGCCACTCAGATGACGGTAACTACGGTTTCTGGCTCAACCAACTCGACTAAGTATCCAAAACAACAAGAGGTGTGGTGTTTGTTTGCATACATTTATGTTATTATTGTTGCACTTATTTGCTTTTCTGGTTAGGTTAAGGATGTAAGATCCAAACTAAGGTTTGGACTGAAAATAGCTGTTTAGGTGGGTTAGATACGCGCCCTTGCCCGGTTGAAACCAAAACAAAGTAATTGGGTAAAATGACGGTTCTAAAATTCATTGTAAATTTAAATGTACATTATTACCCAGACAAATATGACCACCCAGCTATCCAACCAATAATTGTTCAATTAATCAAATCTAAATTACAATAAATAAGGAAGTTGACAAAGGATGCGAGAAAATTACCAATCGCAACAAACAAATGCTGTTTTATTCTGTCTGGATAGACCACGCACAGATTCGTTCAAAAGATAATATTTGGTTGCTTTATAACACAGAGTGTTTCCAATTCTGGAAGAGTACCTCAATTCACAATCAAAAATGCACAATTTCAATCAATACAAGAAAGACGGTCAAAAGGGAAACAAACCAATATAGCTACCGCCAAGAATAAGTATCAAGTAAAACAACATAAATGCAGTTCAGGAAGAAACACAGAAACTTAGTAAAGGCGTAAGGAAAATAAAAACTATAATAAAATACAAATATTACCAACTCAAATGGAATCAAGAAGACTAACAATGTACAACTAAAAGAATCAATAGGAACAAACTGCAAGTGTAAACATGGAGGGATTTTTAGACACAAAACATCCAAAATGGATCTCACAAAGGAGGCGAGGTTAAGGTGTGTGATAATTAATAATAACACAAACACTCGCATCTATGCCTCGAATCACATCATGTACAAGAAATGACCTTAAATGCACCGTTCATAAATCAACAGGATGTCCACTTAAGTAGAATTAAAAGTTACTGGCCGATGCATTGCATTGTTATAATATGTGTCATAAATGTACTACCTAAACAATTTTTGAACTAATGAACTTAGAACAATCTTATATCATATGTTTGTTCCTTACATTTAATGTTACTATTTATATCAAACCTTAAGGAAATTCACCAACCTACTGTGATCTATTGAGGGTTATAAATTAATAAGAAAGATAAAAATGAGGATTTAGATTAATAAGTTAGGGATAAGAACTGGAATCATGGTTTCCTTCACGAAGTGATGTAAGCTATAACTCCAGAATCCTACTTAGCCATGTGGATGGATGGGTTTCGCGCTGCAATCTGGGACCTGCTTTCTTAAATCCGATTATTTCATCAACAAATTACAGTTTCGCATTTTTCGGGCCTGATATATATGTTCCATCAAGCTTCCTGATGTTTCCCAGACAGTTTATAGAACTTCACCAACTATTTGTTTTACGACCTCTGGTTTTCATCGTGTCCAGTGATTATATAGCAATGCAAATATTTCACTAGCACATGAAAAGATTATTGACAAGTGTTTTTATTGTAACATTCGTTGTGCGACTGAATTACAGGATGCCCGAAATTGTTTACAGTGCCATTTTTCATCTCCAAGAAAGAAAAGAATATACAACTTCGAAGTTTTCAGCATACATAAAAAACCCTTCCTGATTTAGCAGTGCCACATGCATAACCAAATCATATAAAAGTTTTGGGCTTACTACACAACTGGTAATGGGTGGACTTATTTTCTGATACTTTCAACATATGGTTAAAGCTGAAGTCAAGTCAGCAGAGTAAAGGCACTTCTATACTGTAGAATTTAAAAGATAAAACAACTGTCTGTGTGAAGACAAGCTGAAATCCTTTCTTAATTTAAGATATAACAAAAAATTAATACAGCCCTTGTATCTATGATTAATTTTGTGATCCAAAATCTAAAGTCCAGTTTGAGCATGATTTCAAAGGCTCGTGTCGATTAGAGGAAGTAAGGTGTAATCGGGAAAAATTCGGAATCCATGAAATGACTGAAGTGATATCAGCTGTCCTATAATTAGACATATCTTATAGCTAACTTAATGATGAGTAATATGTGTAGTTCTTGTTGACTCCGGGGAATATGTATGTACGTTGGATCTATTGACCATTTTGGCATTAAAATCAAAATACGTGGGATGTCTATTTTTATGGGAGGAATAAGGTATATTATCAGCCCCCTGGGGGTTATTAATTACTGAAGTCGGAAGAATGAAACTAATACAGAGATTGGATTATACAGTATCGTTGATTTTACTAGGGTCACCTCGGAACAGGTCTTCGTACTTTCTGTATCACGAATCGAGTGTGACACTAAATATACTGTTAATTTAAAATTTAGTAGTTGAACTAATAACTGAATTTATATATGGTACTTACATCTTGTTGGGTGTATAAGTTTATTATTATTATTATTATTATTATTATTATTAGTATTAGTATTATTATTATTCACAAACAGCTAATTTCAGCATAAGTGTTGTGCGAAAACCGTTTCAGGTTTCCTCGTAAACGCAGTTATACACAAGTTTCAATAACGTTTACATGGTATTCATCATATTTAAGCAGGTTTTGCAGTAATTAGAAGAATACTAAGTTGACTTTAAAAAATAAGAAAGGGATTAAAAATGAAACGTGTCGATAATTTAATAAGTATGTTCGTGAAACAGAATAAGAATAAACGGTGATACATGTATTACTTAATGGATTTAAAATAAATCATTATAGTAGTAAGATTTGATGGCAGGATAAGAATTTATGCAGTGGTAGTTAAGGATTATGCAATGAAAGTCTTCATTTATATCAGATAAGTGCAGTCCAATATCAGTTCGAGGGTCATAAATACGTGGTGAAGATAAGGTGATTCTTCAAAGCCAATTCATTTAAGTAAGCGTAATGTAAGATTTTGTGTATTTAATTAGAAACTCTAGAGGAGTAAGATTATAATTACTATAAAAGTAATAAAAGAGAATGGGAGAAAGTTTACCAATAGGAGTACGTTATGACGTAAGAACATTATTCATTCTCCATTCTATTGTAACGAACAAACACTGAGGTGGAGGCAAAATTCTAGAACATCTTCGTAAAATATAAGAACAATACACTGACTACTACATTTGCGAATTTCCACCATTTGTCCTTCACGTTTTTGTATGGTTCTTCCAGTCCACAATTCCTTTCCATTTTTCGTTCTATTCTCTTCAACTTGATCTTCTTAGCCTTCTGCTGCCAGGTTTTCTACTTCCGACTGGTGTTGCATACTAATTATGTCAACAGACATAATTAGCATACACTACACTGTCTTTTTTCTAAACAATCCGTCAATGTTTCAAGGTGTTTTGAGAAGCTAATTATTGCGTATTCTTCTAGCTAACAGTCGATACGTTTGGCATATTCAACGCTCCCGAAGTCGATTTTCTATTTACTTGCCAGACTTTCATTCCCTTCAGTCGACTAAGCTATCCATGTCAAGTGTACAGCCGCTATCTCACAATAATTCCTGTCTTTTTTTGAGTTCTAAAAAGTTGTTATTGAAGCCTTCATTTAAGCACTGAAATCATATTCGTACTTGTGATCAACCACCGATAGTCACAAGATTCATATCAATTCAGACTGTCTGTTAAAATTACACATAGTGTTTCTGTTATTAATAGTGACGGGAAAAATAAGATAATAAATTATCTACAAACTGACTCATCTTGTCCAAAAAAATAATACACTTATGTACCCTGTATGTTAAATTAAATAAGGATGAACGCAACTCTGAGAATTTGTAAGTGATCGTAAGATTCCGATTTTGTGGGTCACTTTCTATTTTATAAAAGAAGATCTAAATATGAAGGTTAAGTATTCCTTCTCGAATTAACTCTTCAAAGAAATACTTGTGGATCATTTTGTAATACTATTAAAGTTTTTCAAAACTCATGAAGCCTACTTTATTCAAGATCTCTCTTTCACAATTAAGTGGGTAGAAAACGAACACGGCTGTATTTTGAAAATATAGATTTTTTACGAACATTGGATAGATTTCTGGTAAAAAAATCTTCATCACTGTGTTTGCTTCCAGGTTATCAATTTTTTCGGTAAACGTTTGGTTAAATTTTGAAATTTCTACATTCTGCTGTGAACTTATGAACGTAACTCGAAAATTTGACGTTTTGTTTATTCAATACTGTAATTACAGGATGTAAAATTAACTTGTAAAAATATTTCGGAACATTTGTTTGCTGATTATTTCATTTTTCAGTTGTGGTTTTCACCTTAGTAACACATGTCAATCTCAAATCGCTTTAATCGGATCTAGATACACATAAAAGAAAAGATATCCTTTCTCTTTAGTACCATTAATGATACAGTAGAATAATTACTGACGAGACTAATTACTTCTTTAATTCCATAAGCTAAATAGTCATACTTTATTCAGGCCAAAAGTTGACTTGTTGTATGATGTACGCTTGAACTATGGAAGAATAACTCTTGATATTTTGATTGAAAGGTTTGATTTTTAATAATAATTTTTACACAAATTATGATTTTAGGATACATTAAAAGTATGTTGGGATAAATAATTTATTTATGATATATAGTACTTAATGTACAATGCATTTGATAATACGATCTGTTCTTCTTTAGATCATTTAGTTCTCTAATATGGTAGTTCAAGAAGAAATTGTTTTAATATCCATTTACTTTTTTTGTTTAATTAGTTATATCTAAAGAATCATAAACGCTTCCATATTTTCATTTATTTTCTGAAAATTTTGATTTGTTTAAACATATCCCAAGTAAATGTTCAACAACTGTCAACATATCGGTCTATTAGAAGACTGAATACTATTAGAATATCTCTTATTGAAATTCAAATCTTATCATGGAAGCTATTCCCCGGTGAACTGGGTGAACCATAACCACTTGAACGGTCATCTGATATTGTTGTGGAATCATGGAAGTTTAAATCAAATGGATTTAATAAAGAACATAATCTATTATCTGTATTCCTAATTAATTTATTGTCACAAGAACTTTGTTCAGCAGTAATGCGTGTTTTACACTTTGTAAATAGTTGAATATATGAAGCAATACATTGTGAATAGTTGAGATTCATTTGATATTTTTGGTTATTTTCATCATCATAATCTTCATCATCTCCAAAATCAGTGCAATTTTGTCTTGAAAGTATTTCATTTGAACAAAAACACGAGTTAGCAGTAGCTTTATAACAAATAATATTTCTTTTTTCTGGATGAGGCAGATCAATATCACGTGTAGAAATGTGTGGAAATAATTCCATGTAATCATGTTCACACAAAATAATGTTTTCATGTAGATAAAAGCGATCTCCAATGCAGAACCTACATTTTAAAATGGAATAAAATGGTTATGAAATTTGTTTCTTTAGCTGACTTAAATGATCCAATGGGGACAGCAGTTATATTAAAAGAGGAATAAATCTTATTTTACAGGACTATCGACAGTTGCATAGTTACTGTTTAAAAGCGTATATTTTGTATATAAAGGGATCTTAGTTTATCCAATTTAAAATATTCAAATACAAAAATGAATTACGAGATACTTAAGGAAGTTAGAAAAGCAGAACAGTATCTTACGAACTAGGATAGTTAATACACCTTAAGTGTAGGGAGTTGTATTGAACAAATTAAGTCCAGCTTTTATTTAAAAGAATTTGATTATCCATTTCACACTTTCTCTGTAATTAGTGACATTTTTAGGGAAAAATATAATCGTTTCCTTTTAAAAATGCAATTTTCACTTTTTTCTTAGAGATTATGTGAACTGTTACCAGCGTTATTACTGTATTACCTGATTAATCATTGTCATTAATTAATCTTCTAAAGTTAGAGTTGTTTTCTATTTGCTAGTTAGAGGTTAATAAACATGGTTGAGCAATCTCGTCACACGTAACATATTTCTGCATGTAACCTAACATATCTGCTGCCATTTATAGTTAATAATACTATATTCTGTAGGAGGTCGTCGGCATAGAATTATCCGATTTGAGGACTGTTGAAAGCCGGAGAAGACAGAATAGCTGTTCTGTCCCAGCACAAGGATCCCTAGCGGTACTCACTCTCAATCCAGTCAGGGGTTGAATTCAGGATCGTCAGGCCCAATGATCAACTCTTACATATTAGATCCGTTTAGGTAGGGTCACGTGATATACAACCAACTTATTATTACTTACTTACGCCTGTCACCCCTCGTGGGGGACCAGAGGCCGCCCACCAGCACTCTCCATCCAACCCCGTCCTGTGCAATCCTTTCGAGTATTTTTCCAGTTGCTGTTCTTCTAATTCCCGACTTAGTGTGTTCCTTGGCCTTCCACTTTTCCGTTTCCCTTCAGGATTCTACTTTAGAATGCAGTATGGTGATTTCCGTAATGTACATCCTATTCACTTCCAACGTCTCCAAATTTCTTTCTCCATTTGGAAGCTGGTTTGTCCTCTCTACAGTAAGCTGTTGATGGTGGCATCATTCAAGGTCTATAACCATCGGTTGCTATCATCTCGCGGTTCCCAACCAGGTAGTCTACACCTACCAGCATGGCTCAGTCTACTTGTTAGTGACTTCATGAATTTGTGCCACAATTTGGTCTGGCCGCCCCTAGCTTTCTTCCATCCTACTCCTACGACGTGAAACATCGCAGTCGGTGGTTGGGCATGCGTGACACGTGTCCCAGCAATCTCAACTGATGAAGTTTCACTACTTCATCAATTGATTTGCCACCCTTACCTAGTACCCGTTACCTAACAACTGCGTCACTTACTCGATGGTCTCAGGATATACGAGAAATGCTTCGAAGACACCTATGATCGAATAATAGGACAGAACGAACTGATGCGTAGTAAACACGTCCTTTGGTTGATAGACGGATACTTCGTGTACGTCATAAATGACGCAAGTTGACAAAAGCTAGTCGAGCATTCTGTAGCCGTGCTGAGATTTTGTCACACACCAGATGAAACTCCCAAGATAAGTGAAGCAGTCGACACGCTCAACTACTTCACTCCCTATCATCAATTCAGGTGTCGATGCAAACCAATCCTGAAGCAACATTTTGCATTTCAAGGAGGAGAATCGCATTCCGAACATGCTTGGATTGTTGATATCAATGAGCATATATAAAATGAAGTTTGTGCACAGAAATACTTGTCTGAAAAAAACAAAACAATTTTACCCCGTTTAAGAAATTTATATTAAATTAATTTGAATAGTTTAATCCATTCACAATTATTTCATTCTGATCGATCAAAATATGAAGGTACTCTAACTAAACTTTACATGTTCACTGATAAATATCACTGTAATTTATGACTGTATGTATATGAAAGAATTTTTTCCTAGTGTTTTATTTCTTAAAAATGTCTTTTGACTTCCTTTCATAATGTAAATATTATTTCTATTATTATAAATAAAAATAAATAAATAATTAATTAATTAGTTACCTCATTTGACAATATTGACAACAAAAACAAGATAAATGATAAACACTATTTTTTATCTTCATAACAAATTCATATGATTGTACTTGTTTCTGACAGATGGAACATTCACCCGTTTTACCATACAATCTAAAATGTAATTTTGAGAAGAAAAATAATAATAAAATTGTTCTTATATTGACATGATCAACAAAATTGTGTGAATTTGAAGATAGACTTTTGAACCCAGAACTAGAACAACTGAAAAGCTGTTAAAAATCAAGATATAATGGCTAGATATTTGGGTCTAGTGAAGTGTTGTAACATAGGGAGTTGGTTACGCTAAAATTGTGGTATTAACTCATCAATAACATCGATCATGAGCCATATTATACCACAAAATAGTTGAAGCTAAAGGTATATACCACTAAATTTAAACTTGATGGGAACTTAATTTGTGCACGAAACAATCTTTAGGACAATGAACATGTTACTCAAAAGTTTCATCCGTTTGAAGATTTAAAAGAAAACCAGATTGGCAATATGGCTTATTGGAATGGCGTTGAGAGGCTCCAAGCTGTCAAACAAATGATATTACATGAAAATAACAACTTGTAAAACATTTTGTAGTTTTGAAGTTTGGGCTATTTTCTGTCTTGGTGGTCTTCATGTGATATACGTAAAGTGGTATACGTAAATTTAACGGTTTACTACAATCAGTATTATTCTGACCTATTGATGTTGCTACAACAACAATTATTTCTGTAACCTTTCACAACTTGATTTATTATGATCATGTTATGATGTGGTTAGTAGTTAATACTCGCTTTTATTTGTTGTTTCATCTCGTATAATACCATATGTACCGTGTTATTTGTTTATGTAATTCAATTTTCTCAAACGTTCTCTAGAAAGTCTCGTGTACTCTTTCTCATGAGAGATTACCAGTGTCAAAGTAATATCACATATCATGTAATTGATTTGTCAGTGAGAGTTTAATTCAAGGACGAATCAACGAAATCAGGGATTGCGAGTTTTGATTTCGGCGCGAAATCTATTCATTCATATCGTTAAACAATATCTTAGGAGTATAGCTGATGTCGGTTAGTGATAAAAACCCTTACTTTAATTCATAACCTTAAATTCTAACTCTGAATCCTAATTACTCATACTAATTTATAACCCTCTTTTGACCTAATAAGTAGGTGTGCCGTCTCAAGGTCACTTTAGAGTCATCCAATGGTTGTCCATAAATTATAGTCTCACCAATTTGTCTAGTCATGTGCAGATAATAGTTAGTATTTACGGAATCCTCAGTCGACCTTACTTCGAATCTTAACACCAGGAATACTGCAAAAATAGTCAAAAGTACAATGCCTCCCTCCTTGTTCTGTCTAATAAGAGAAGCTATTTTAATAGCTCATGAAAGTAGACATTTATTCGCATAAAATCTAGTTTCAATAAAATTTAGATGAATGAAATAAAGCGACTTGGAATTTTTAGGAAATTTGATGTATTGACTGCCTTGTTACTGTTGATGACCACTAAAATTCTGGATGGAACTCAGTTTTATGAGAATTCTGGTTAGCGTTTCTTTATCAAGACTGTTTTCTACGGGATGGGGTTGCCGACTTTACACCCAAACTTCCTCTTTTACCCGGGCTTGAGACCGATAGTTTTACGAAAACAAATAAATTTACTGATTCCGTGGTCGATTTTTGGAAATAAAATTTACACTATAATTGACGCAAAATTTCTGAGAAGTAAAATGGTGACATGATAGACTTACATTTTTGGAGATTGGGAAACAAGTCTGTCGGTTAATAGAAGTTTATAAAATATTGGTATGATCATTTGTAACCTTTCGTTTAAAAATAGAAGATAATATAATTTATACATGGGTTTATACATGAGTTTCTACCTGAAGTGCGGAATCAGTTTTGGTAAATTATGTCTATTCATATGGTTATTTTAACAAATGAGGTATCTTGTCTTGTACAATCGGTTTGTACTGTTATGATTTAAAAAATACTCTCTATCATAAGTTCCATTTAAGATTGATGCTTTTCGTTGTTTTTCAATATCTGGAACGTAGAAAAGTATTATGCTTCCTGACTAACGTAATCTCTATTGTTGAGTGATTTAAAAGTGGTCACTGTCATTTTTGAAATCCTGATAAATTCTTAGCACAATTTAAACAGATATTATTACGCCAAGTATTTTGTATTTTAACTTACTGAAGTAGTTATAAATAAATGATATATTTGTAATATCACAATGAGTAGAAAAATAAGATTTTCTGACGTTTCGTGACTAAGTGTAAGCCACTTCTTCGGAGAGTAAATAAATAAACTGTTGTAACGCGTGTGTGTGGGACTGCAGGTTATGCTAGACAGCGTTTATATCGATCGATTACAGTAGACACGGAAAACACGTATGGACGACCTTGTGCCCTGATTGATCCCGCTTCGCAGTCTGTCCTAGCCAGTTGAGTGAAGAACGCAAGTCACAGCCTCTGAGTTATGAATCGTTGTATTTCAGACATACTTTGTTTATATACCAATCAAGCACACCACATCGTACCATAAAATAGGAAACAACATTTACAAAATATTTAACAAGTGAAATAAACATCGACCAATAAGAAATGTACATTTAAGGTCCAAGGACACCATAGACTTAACACGATAATTATTGGTATATTTTTCCGACTATCCTAACATAAACAAATCGAGATTAATCCAAGTTTGAATAGTACAACGGAACAACACAAGAATATTTATGTGATCAGTCAAAAACAGTTCTGAATAAATCCATGTCACGTCATTTCGGTCAAGGTGATTCATAAGTGACATGTACATAAATTTGTATATGTGTGTAATGTTAAGGATGAAAAATGTATGACATTTATGCTGAGAAAGGACAGAGTTTAATTTGTAAGATAATAGTGTGAATCGTGAATAATATCAGACTAGTAGCAATAGCAGTTCACGCCATTTTCAACGACTACCAAATCGACGTTAAAAATACCAAAATATTACAAAAACGCTTTTATAATTACAAAGAAAGGCGAGTAGCTGAAGCGTTCCATATAATGCATAATCGTACTGCTCTCAACAGAAAGGAAGGCCTTACCATACATCTTACTTGAATTATCTGTCCTAGCCACCTAGTTTGCTATTATTCACAATTCACGTTATCATCTTACAAATTAAACTCTGTCCTTTCTCAGCATAAATGTCATACATTTTTCATCCTTAACATTACACACATATATACAAATTTATGTACATGTCACTTATGAATCACCTTGACCGAAACGACGTGACATGGATTTATTCAGAACTGTTTTTGACTGATCACATAAATATTCTTGTGTTGTTCCGTTGTACTATTTTTAAACTTGGATTAATCTTGATTTCAATAGTTGAGGTCATGAGTCAATTGAAGCTAGACCACCATGGAAAACCTGGAAGCGCTCGCGAGCGAGACTGATGGGTCCTGGGTTCGAATCTCGCGGAGGCGGGATCGTGGATGAGCACTGCTGAGGAGTCTCATACTAGGACGAAGCGGCCGTTCAGTGCTTCCAGGTTTTCCATGGTGATCTAGCTTCAATTGACTCATGATTTCAACTATTGAAATTACTAAAATCTCCACAAAAAACCTCTTCCAATAATAATCTTGGTTTGGTTATTTATTTATTCTCTGAAGAAGTGGAATACACTAAGTCACGAAACGTCAGAAAATCTAATTTTTCTATTCAATGTGATATTACAAATATATTATTTATTTATAACAATCTACCTAATGCTCAGTTTATTAGAAATTATCAAGTCAAACCTTGGTAATGATACCTACTTAATGAACTAGTGTTATTTTACTTTATTAAAATACTTAAAAATGTACATTGACTACTTACTTACCTTAGATAATCTTTTCGACATAATGACATCCTAGCTTTAATGTAGAAAATTTTATCTAATTCAGCTAATCTAGCATCACAGCATACACAACGTAGACAATCTTCATGCCAGTATTGACAATCAGCTAATAAGTAATGACTTTCTTTGATGCATTGTTTACACTTTGAGCAAAATTTCAACTCTGACATTATAAAGTTACTTTTAGTAATAACAGAGTTCGAATTGTTCAAGTTTTCAACGATTCTGTTTCTAGTTATGTTTAACATTAAACCATATGAATGTTGTAATCTAAATTTAATGAACTGTTGAGAAGGAAAAGAAGAAAAGCTTAAGGAAAAATATGTGAAAAGCTTTTAAAAAAGAGTGGTTATTTGATACAAGCTATTCAAGTTACTGAAAATTATACAATCAGATTAACTTTATGGAACGTATTATACAATGAGTTTATATTTCATTAAGTGTATAGATGAAAGTTGGAATTTTAAGAAAAATGTGTCCAGGGTTCTTCAACGTTGTCACATGGTACACTACACACTTAAGGTATTAATTAAAAGCGAAATCACATTTCAGTTTTTTTCTTTGATATTAAGTCTTAGTCACATAGTTTTATATAAAAAATGCCTTGCAGTTACTCTGAACAAACATTTAACATTATAATAAGAAATGATGGTGTCTAGCAGTGGAATCCAGGACGAGGGTACTTGGTTTGAGTCCGGGAATGAACATTAATTCCGGGATACCGATACATCCAGCTAACTAGCACTAAAACATTTAGGATTATTTTCACTAGAACTAGTTAACTTCTATCTAGTTCGAAATTGCCGGACATTATAGTGATATACATAACAGTTATACCTAACATCTACCACACATAATAACGAATGTACATTGATATTAGAAATACCGTAAATTACCTACACTTAAAAACTCTGTTTAATTTATTTATCACATTTTAAGACGTGAGTTCTTTGAGAGTCTGCTATAGACAGTCACGTTTGTGAAATTATCATTACTTATATTAAAGTAGCCTAACTTTTGTTATTTTTTCTGCATCTTAAAAAACTTGAAACTGTTTATCAAGAAATGACCATGCTTTAAGAGTAATGTTCCATTGATGATATTAAGTTTCGTTATTTGTAATATGATAAAACTACTTGAGAATTAGTTTTTTGGAAAGTTAATTATTTACTAATATAGGCATTGTTTGAACCACTGGAACAGCAGCATTCAATTACTTACCGTTTTTCTAGTTCTCACTCGAACGTTAAGAATATTATTCAGCGCTAATCCATGACAAGTAGCGTTATATTACATCAACTATGTGGAGGCCTGTTTTCATCCTAATGTGATTGACATGTTTCATGTAGATAACTACTGATTTCATCACTCAATGCCACAATAAAGTAAAGAACGAGAAGAACTTTAGGTTTCATGTCTGCGTTAAGCTGATAATCAGTACTCCAAAGTTTCTTGGTTCAATATGAAGTTAAAAACATATTTACTCTGTAAAGCAATGTTGGATATGCACTTTTTGGTCAATTAAGTTTCAAAAAGTTTTAATTCAGTTAGTTTAAATACCTTAATGTGAAAGACATTGAAAACTCAGTGTTTATTTATTAAGAGGTAAAGAATCTGTAATAATTCTTCAACCCATGGTGCATATGTACCTCAAATTCTTCAACGTATATAATGTCTCAAAGTTCCACTTATAGTAACAGTTCCTTTAGAGATTAATTTTGTTTATCATTCAATATATGTACTGGTTTATTATTGTTCAATCGATAATTATGGATAAAAACATGTTTTGATATTACAAATGATAATCTCTTATATATTTTTTAAAGAAGAAATTAATCGTTTTATCAAAATGAAGACTTTAGGTAATAACTTATGCAATAAAATAAAATTTCGAATGTAATTTTGTTTTACCTTTTTTTTTAAATGGGAATATTATTGATATTTGTAATTAAAAAAAGATAATTGAACACTTGAACGATCTAACTTCAAGGGTAAAATTAATCTTAAAGGACAAAAATCTACGAAATAATTAATTAATTAATCAATCATTTCACTGAATCAGTTTATTGTAATATAAAGTTTCAACTCCGCTTGGAGCCTCCCTGGGGCTACTTCCGGTCCCAAGCCCGGATAAAGGAGGAGGGTTGAGCATTGGGTTAGCGACTTCATCCCGTAGAAAACTTACTCGCTAAAAAACGCTAACCAGAAGCAAGTAAGTAAAAAAAGTTTCAATGACCATATTTTACTTAACTCATGTATGTTCATTTTCTTCTATGTCACAATATGTCTCATAGTTCATATGAAGTCAAGTTTATCGAATGTACTCAGAGTTCTATTGTACTCTAATTTAAAATATTTAAAGCACGAATAATTTAGATGTTTACAAAATAATGTAAAAGATTATTTATTTAGTTTAATTGATAGATCTGCTTGGAAAGTAGGATAACATTAGAATTGGGTAATCATGAGAATATACACAATAAGATGATAAGATTGGTTCATAGGTTAATTAAAATTTAGACATAGGATACAAGTATCCTTCAACTATGCAGGTTAAAAATGATATATATACTACATAAATTAAGAATGTTTTACCTTAGTTTTCTTTTGTAATTCACATGTATTAAGTCAATAACAAAAACACTTGTTAACTTCTTATCTCGCTAAAATGAATAACTGATCATTCAATTTATCGAAACATTCAGTGCAATATTCGATACTAAATTAACTAATTATTTAAATATCAATGTTTAGTCACATTATTATAAAAGAAGAAATTAACTACCGTTGTTCAGAGAACATGATTGTTTTAACAAGAGAAATTTACTGGAAATGGTCAGTTGGTTGAAGCAATATGTGTCTTTTATGAGTGAAATTTAGAATACTCACAGAAGTAGTTTATAGTATTCAGCTTATCTTGATGTGATATAAATATGTAAGTAATGTATTTACCGAAACAAAACCATCATTAAAAACGTCTTAGAATTTTTTTCAAAGTGGAATTAAATAATCATTCTTAATGACAAATAATAAATGGTAGTATTCCGTGTTGGCATGTCAAGGTATTAGACGCTTATAAATGTTTGCTAATAACTGATTTCTTTTTAAACACTTATTGATGATGAAGAATTCCCGATTGATTGTCATCTAGTTTAGAAAATATGAAACCAATAGAATAACGAATGTATGTTACTAAAATTACTGTTGTAAATTGTTATAGATGATTTTACATACCTTTAATACTACTCTCATTAAATTATATAGTTAAAGTCTAACTTTATAACAAAACATTTTTAATATAATACGTATTTTTACAATTAAGTATTGTTTAATAAATGATAATCCTTGGCTTAACAATTCTAATGGTTTAACTATAATATTCGGTAAGTTAAGAGTAAATTTTATTGAAAAAACTAGTACAAAATTAGTTAAACTTACAAATTATTCGATGAAACACCTTGATATTCTCACAAACATTATTTGAATGATTAAAATCTTTGAATAATGAATAACACTCCAGGTTTAGGTGGCAGATATTGGAAAGAATAACGTCATAATATAACTGTTAATTCAAAGCAATTATTATTATTCTCTATTTACGAATGACATTTTTCAGTTTTAGTAAATAACGACAAAATGAATGATTTTGACGGATAGAGAACAAAAAAAAAATAAAACAAAATGAATATAAATACTTAATATTGATAGTTGATTGGTCAATTTAAACATAATTCACATCAATTATTTTCTCAAATGTGAATAGTATTTAGTCTGTTTATAGATAAACATGAACATTTAGTTGTTATGTGTGTTTATAGAATACATGTTTTGTTTTTTACAGCTATCTACACATTAAATATATAAAGATACATACAAAACTTAATATTAAAATGTATGTATACATTTGATAGTTAAATTTTTTATGATTGAATGAATGTTGAATGTTAAAAGAAAGATAACAAGGAAATGTAATTAATTTTCGTTCTCTTCATTTTTTTCTCTCTTTTATTTTTTCTTTCTTATTATTATCACACTATAATCATTTATTTTAAATAATTTTTTCTTCGATTTAATTGTAAAAAATTTGTTAGATAAATCGATGGATGGTTTATTATTTTTAAATTTTATTGTTATAAGTAAAAAAAAAGAAATTTATTTTGTTGCAACTCAACAAAATAAAAAAATAAAAAAATAAAAAAAATAAAAAAATAAAAATAGACGAAAACAAAAATGAACTAGAGACAAATAATATTTAAGTCAGCTGGAGAACAGTTGAAAGTTATGAAATAGAGAATAGTTGTTTCGTCCTAGTTTGTATCCTATTCTGAAGTGAAAATTGATGATACCACAGTATATCTTTATGTGATCTTTTTAAAAAAATATTACTGTTCACCATTCCCTTGGAGATTTCCATAAATCTTCTAAACAGACGTTTACTATTATAAATATTATTGTTATGGCAAAATGTTTTAAATCTTACTTGATTTCTATGATTTCCATAAAAAGTATAGTTGAAACATTATTTACTCAGTAATTCAATTATTTAATTATCATATAACTAGATTATATATATATATATATATATATATATATATATATATATATGTCTTTTATCATACAGTTTTGGTTAAGCTATTAACCACTATTATATGATTTATCATTCTTGATTTACTCTCAATCTATTATTCACAGTCTCCCTACTTTCAGCTGATATTGCGTTGATCACATGTAATTCTTTATTTTATAGCATTATGCATATATATATATATATATATAACCAATACACAACAAGGACGAGAAGACTGATACTGACCTAACACTAACAAGGCCCGAACAAAAAGGAAGAACACGAGACTAGTGATCATCAACACGATTTCGTTATCATATTTCGAACAGACGTAATTTAAATACGACGAAACCAGATTGCATAATGCTATAAAATAAAGAATAAGAATATATATATATATATATATATATATATATATATATATATATATATATATATATAATCTAGTTATATGATAATTAAATAATTGAATTACTGAGTAAATAATGTTTCAACTATACTTTTTATGGAAATCATAGAAATCAAGTAAGATTTAAAACATTTTACCGTAACAATATATTTACATATATATAAGAGTAATTTTGTATTGTGGACAGCAGTGGAGCTCAGGACGCGAGCCTCGTCTTAACTGACGGTCACCAGCAGGTAAATCAACAGTAGTTAATAATGGAAGAATAACAAAAAAAATAATAGTCGCAATGAAGTACATATTTAAACTTATAACAATAAATGTTAGATGACATTAATTGAAGAAGGTAGTTGAAGAACGGGTTCGTGAAAAATAATGTAACAAGAATTTATGATGTGAATAGAATGTCAGTAAAATAACTAATTTTGTTGTTTTATCATCTGAATAATGATGACGATAACCATGAGGATCAAGCAAAGTAAAGCAAACGAGTGAAAAAATTAAGAGGTAAACACTTTTACATACAAATCAAAATGGTGGTATCAGGTTGAGATCAGCGTAAAAACAAGGTGTGATGTATATTCTTTATCCATAAGGTGTTATTGAGATTTTTAAATTTGAAGTTTCACGTAATTGTTTCATTTTAGTACGAGACTACTTAGTTATTATATCCATAACCACACCAAGAATTCAAACAATCAATCAGTACTTAACCTTCAGACCACTGATTTAGAGTTCCAACGGTATGCATTTCTGACTTTAGCCATACCATGCTATTCACCATCCTTTGATAATGTTAACATGTAAATTTAATGTTGTCTGATGTTTAAAACAAGTATTTCCAGAACTTAGAGTCCCGATCACTTTCGTTTATCTTTGGAAAAAACAAATAGGAACATGTTCTTAGATGAGAGCGCCAACTACGAACAATATACCTCGATCCATAGAAGTAGATTAACCTATAGATAATCATAAGTAAAAGCTTGTCTTTCAAGAATCTGGAGTTCAGTGTTAGTCAAAGTTTAGCTAAAGGAAATATTCCCTTAATCTCTCTATAAAATTTATGGAAAAATTCGTTGAAAAGAAATATCTTCTCTGAATTTCTTGTCATTGATATTTAAGATGTTTTTTTTCATTTTGTATATTTACAACAACAAAATTTATTAAGTTCTAGACAGTCTATTAATTTACTTTCATAATTACAATACGACTGAACTTATACAAATAAACAAATTTTGCTTACCTATACATGATGCCGATATTGTACAAGAAATTATGACAAATTTATTATTTTATATAAATCAAGATATTATTATTATTATTATTATTCATAGTTTTCTTATGTCCTTTTCGTTTTATATCCAGTTACTTTATCCGAATTTTCTTTTAAGTCTTTATTCTACTTTATTGTTGTTTGTTTTTGTTCAAGTCTAATTCATCTGTCTCAGTGATATATAAAACCTACTTCATTTCCGTTCATAATATAATACTAACAGGATTAAGTATATGCTTATGCAGGTATGTATGTAGGTGATATGCATAGACATGTGTATTTATGCTTTCAAGAATATCTACTTTTCATTCGTGATATTATCAAAAAGATACATTAAAACATGTAACTAATCCTATGTATACCTAGAAAACAAGTAAGTTCACACGCACACAGATATACATATCTACAGGCACGAACACCTAAGAAAAAGAAATAAGAATCCAATGTGAACAGATAAAAAGATAATCATGTCATTTAATAATTATGGTAATTCTTATTATAATTCATTCATTCATTCATTCATTCATTGATTATTAGATATCTGAGTAAATAGGATATACTTATTCTTATCATGAAGATAAGAATATTAAAAAAGAAGAGATTATCTAAGTGTTTATACTACATAGAATTTTTGTTTAAAATTCAATATAACACGTTTATTATTCACTTGAGAATCTCATTTCCTATTCAATAAATCAACTTATAAATTATACTTGTAGGTTTACGTGTGTATTCATATTACTAAGTGTGTGTGTGTGTGTGTGCGTATACATATGAGAATTCATTCACCTTAATTCGTTATTGAAATACTTTAGAGAATAGTTCATCTTATCACAAATGTTTATTATCTTAACTAAATGTTTCTATTAATTATTTTCAATAGGAGACTATTTAAAAAAGAACGAATAATACTGTCTTGAAAGAAAAGATAAAATAAGAAATAAACTAAAAATATTATTCAAAAGCGATGACTGAATTAATAAGACACACTAATAAGCACTTACTTACATACACATATAAATGTATAGGTGTTAGCAGAATTTAGTAGGCTGGTAAGAAGATTAAAACAAATGCATTAACATTAGCATTATTAAAAAAAAAATGATATAGTAGCAATGAAATTATTATTTCTTCTGCACAAATACTTTTCTTTCTTTTATTGCTACATTTTTATTATATATAATTTTATTTGTTTCACTAGCAAAAAGAAAAACGGTAATTAATCTTTTGATGAACTATTTTTTTTCACTGTATTCTTACCATTATCTGAATTAAAAAGAACAAGCTTTACCCCCTCCTTGTTTCTCTGTATTGATGAAAATTGTACAGTTTATCTATCGTAGTCTTATTATTATTATTATTACTAATGTTTATTACTTTGTTAATCCCCTCCCTCAATATATTCATATCTATCAGAATATTTAACCAAGTAGAGTGTAATAAAATCTAGCAAGTGAAAGTAAGTACAAAATTTAATTGAAAAGATATGGTAATCAGAAATAAGTTGATTATATTTATTCGATCAAAGAGCTATATAAAGTTGTTTCGTCATAGCTTGGTACTTGTTTGAAGGATGCATCTAGACCAAATAAAAACTTCTAATTCTCCTAGTCACTGATGCCACTTGACAATAAAAATTACCTTTAAAGAACAGTTTTGGCTAACTTATCTTTTCTAAAAAATTTCGTAATTTCAGTGAGAAGCGAAGTTAAATAATTTTATTTAGACTAATTAAGATAAATCGACAGATCATTTCTCTGAAATTCACTTTTACATGGTTTTTCATGATGGTCTAGCTTCAATTGAATGATGAATTCAATTATTAAATATATGGTTTTCATAAGTTTCTTAACTCGAAGAATTTAATCTGTTTATTCAAGTAATTGTCAATATGCATTAAATTTTACTTTCAGTAAGATATCATCGTGAAAGTCTCATTTATTCTATTTACTAAATTGTTACGTTTTCTACTTGGTTACGGCAGAATACAGTACATAATTATAAGCACTGGAATATGTTGAATCCTACAGTCCCATATGAAAAGATGGAAAAAGCAAGGGAAGTGGTTATTTGGTAAGAAACAGAAACGTACAGAAAACATGGTTATAGTTTTAGTACTGGCTACATCATCATTATAATCCAATCAGTCCCTAAGGAGAAAGGTTATTCAGTTGTCCAATCACAGCATGTCACGTCGATAATCTAGAAGATTCCTCCGGGTTCCGGTTGAACCGAATCTCCTCGTCCCCTTTAAAGCCTGTGGAGGCTTCGTCGTGCTTTTCGGAGGAGTCCCAACGTACGAGTAAATTAAGTCAACAAATAAAATATGCTGAGCAGTCCCTCGCTTTACAATACAAAATAAGGTTACATGTTTTTGGTGGAGTTTTGTTCTCTGAGCTGGATGGTTTGGTCGTGGAGCTTCCATCGTTCTTCTGAACGACATCGTCAGCACAAACTTCAGATAGAAGTGAAGTGTTCGAATTTCTACATATGTGAAGACTCCACGACCAAACCATCCAGCTCAGAGAACAAAACTCCACCAAAATCATCCACCTGAGCTACAAATCTTCTCCACCATCTTAAGGTTACATGCAAAATTGTTCGCTCCCTAAGACTAGATTTTAGATAATTATGTACAACTTTGCGAGAAGCAAATGAGTCAACCTCAATAATAACGTTTCTGACAACAACAGTTAAGTTTATACATTTTACCAAAACTAAACATCTGCACATATCTAGCCAGGAAGTACAGTATTTAGCAAGCAATGCGAGCAGCTTATATAAATTGACATGGAGCTGTGGATAGAACAAATATAATTATTACAATACGTGTACCAAGATAAAATTTAAATTATTACAAGATATATATGTTTTTGAACATTTTCATTTTTAAAAAGGCATATTTTGATGTTTCA